ACAAAACCCAGGCAGCTGACTTGCACAGACGCAGAAAAGGGTACCTTTCAGGAGCAGAGGTCCTCGACAACTCACATGGTCCTGCCAACATGAATGCCACACGCTAGGGCCTCAGTGGAGCTCCGGACATTCTTTGTCTCATTGCCAGTCAACAGTGCTACTACTGTTAGCTCATTTCTCCTCAAGTCTAGTGAGATTTGGCTCCAGTTGGCTTATGAAAAGCCATTTGTTGGGATATGAGATCAAGGACTGCATTTGGATGGCTTAAATCACAAGTCTCCAGCTGTACCAAGTTCCCTGCCTTGACTAACGCAAATCATCTCAAGGGATCTTCACAGGCCCTCAGGTCTTCAGCACAAGGACTAAGCCTGAATCGGGTCTTCAGTTCCTTGTTCAAAGCTTTAATTTCCTCCTGCTCCTTGAAGCATCTGTGAACCTTGTATTTGTTGTGTGAAGATTCTGTACATTCAGTTCCTCTCCCTGACCATCTCCAAACAAACCCTTGCTTCTTTAAGTTACTCTTCCTCTGAGTTGCTTACCAATTCTGTCTTTTCAGGATTAATATTAATCTTAGTTCTTCAGCTGAAAACAAGCTACTTCACTCTCTTGTAGTTGCTGGGCTATATCTGATTAAAAATACAGCATCTGCACACTTCATGGACCTCCCTTGTGTGCCACAGAGGCCCCATACCAACCAGTTGTGTCCCCCACACTTCCAAGTAAATTGCCATTTAGGAGTGTTCTTTGTGTCCTAATGCTCACCACACAGACATTTCTGAAAGTGTTTGAACTCTAGACACACCAAGCATTACCTTGGACTGCTTTCAGGCTAAGTGTTCTTTGACACACAGAGTTCCAGTAGCTGTATCATGAGACGTGCGCGAGATGTACAGTGCAATTCCAGCAAACCATGAACTGTAAAGACCCAAAGTTTTAGAGGGGAATTTATTGTCTGGGTGCATATCCAATATCTTTTGTCAACCATTCATGAGAATAATAAAAAATAGAAGCTTTTTAAATGACAAAAAATAGTTACATATAATACAGATTTTCATCTTGCATTGAAGCAGAGCAGTAATAAAATGCTCACGCGTGTTTTCACAGTTAGTTTGCATTGCTTCTCTCGGTTAAAGCATCAGCAACTCAAATCTTCCAGTCAGAACCCCTAGTTAGTAGTCTCACAGGCCGATCATGAGGGTGAACGTTCTCTGCATTTTGATACAAGTAGAGCAGGCATACTTGATCCATCTCAGAACTACTCAGATTTTCAGAGGTACCAGCTATGTCTGAAGCGAAGCATCCTCGCTACAGCGGAAAGATTTTTGTATCAGAACATGCTTTTAGGCCCAATTCAGAAACACATCTATGGAGTACTCAAGAATGTGCTTAAATCCCAGTTGATTCAAAGGGCTCCGAGTTGATCCTTTGTGAACAGCTCTGCTTCTTCTGCCCCTCACAAGCACTGCACGCTGGTGTGAAGCACTAGCCAGTATTTGATTGCACGTGTAAGTTGTTTGCAAGACCACAAAGGATTCAAACATTCTTCAGCACTCCATTTACTTGAGACCTAAATGCATTTGCTACATGCATACATTTATGTATGTACTGCACACACCCCCAATATTATTGCAATAATTCTTTGCTGGTATGACAGTTTATATACCAAGTTTCACTTATTTTGTTTTCTATAAACATTAGAAAAGAACACCTGAAGAGGGCTAGAACAGCTTTCAATCAGTCACTATATTGGCATTGAAAGCTTTATTTTGAAAACTTTAAGCAGCAATACTGAATAAATAGACAGAATGATTGTTTTGTCATCTCCATACAACCGATGGCCTTCATCCAAAACATTAAAATACTGTAGCAAATAGAATAAACATGCATGTTTCAATGTTCTTAAAAAAAAAAAAGGTGTAATATAAAAGTAACACTTTGACACTTATTTTAATACAGTACAGACCATTAGAGACTATTTTCTGGAAAAAATATCTGAATAGTTTTGTTATTTACATGGATCATTAAGGCCCAAATTCACTCAAGTTAATGCACATCAGGAATTTATATGCTTCAAGATAACTCACTAAAAATTACAAGATCCATTTTTTTTCTCATACTCATATGATCCCAGTTCACTAAAATAATGCAATTCTCTTCACACTAAAACCAAGGCAATTATTGCCCTAAGAGGAGATTTTTATTTCACTAAAGGATCTTTTCCCTCTTACCTCACAATGAAAGCATGGCTGCATATTGCTAATGCTAGTGGTAGTTGTCTTCTTCAAGAACTTCCTTCCAGCTTGCTAGGGTTTAGAAAAGCAAGCAATCTCAAAGCTAACAGACCATTTCCAGAAGCAATTCAGGCACTTGGGAACCTAAGTCCCACTGAAAGATAACAGGAGGCAGGTTCCTAGTTAACTTTTCAGAGTGGGATTTGGGTTTCTCTGTTGCTTGGGCATTCAGAGTGTTTACCTTTGCCTTAACCCACTGGCTTTTCAAATTGTCAGCCCCCCTTTTTCCCCTAACAACACAGCATCACCAGCAAAAATAAACTGTATCCTCATGGATGAGTGAGGTAACACAGTTAATTTCCATTAGTAATAAATTACAGGAGTTCACCATATAAATTCCCTGTGCACTGGAAAATAGTGCTTGTGTATTCAACTATTTAGCGCAAGCAAAAAACCCCATTTTTATCATGCTGGCCAGTAAATAATATGGCACTTGTTAAAATTAGTATGTGTAGCTTCCTTTCTGCTAATGCCCCATAAGTAGGTTTGAAACACTTCTGAAAATGAATTTTTCTACATTTTTAAAGAAAGAGTGAGGTTCTGCAGTTGATTAGAAGCAAAACTCTTAACGCCATAGTGTGAGAAATTTTTGTAACTGTAATACGTTGTTCAATTCACATTTAATGCAAGGGCATGCCATTTCTTTTTGGTTTATTTACAGAGCGGGTGAAAATGCTACAGAACTTTAACCTGGGTGAAATTCAATAAGCAAGAGGAGCATGGTGGGGGCAGGGGAATTTGTCAGTGTCTCACAAATGACAGGTTTGGATAGCGAAGCCTCTCCTTTGCCAAAGAGTGGCGGAAGCTGTAAACGTTTTTCAGATCACCTTGACACATGCTAAAGCCCTGACAAGAGGGTCCACTCGATGATGCAGTGGCCGCTCCTGAGCCAGCTCCAGGCTGGCCCTTCTGTCAAACAGCTGCTGCAATCAGCAGATGCTATTTTTTAACTTAAATGGCAAATTCCTTCCTTGATTCTGTTACAAAGGCATAACTCAAGCCCTCCAAAGCTGTTCTTCCCCTTCCTTTTAATCCTTTTCCTCCTCCCTCCATCTTAAAGAATAACCTGGCAGAGAAAGAGAGCAGTTTTTATGATGCAAGAGCCCAAATCAGCTCAAACTGACATCTGTGGGAGATGGACCTGTCACAAAGTATGACAAAAACATAACTGGGTAAGTATGCTGATCTGCCTTAAAAATATTTTATCTTAGTACAAGACTGAAATTGCAACAGGCTTTTCCTTGTGTTTCTCCCCACCCCCATGCAGCATAATTTGGGCCAGACTTTGCAAGGTGCTGAGTGCCTCAGTTCTCTAACATCAAGAGGTGCTGAAGATGCAAGATATCCACTGGAGAGGGACATTTTATTTCTGTAAATTGAACCCACAATGTAAGGCATATATGCTCAAGTACCTTGGACAGATATTGTCCCCAAACTATGAATATTTTACACTTTTTTAATATATATATATTTACACTTTTTTTTTTAATACAAAGTTATGGACACAGTAAACATGAGCACAGAATTGTGATAAACTAGCAATAAAATCAGTGAGCACTGCAAAGATTCCTCAGGTAGGAACATCTAATTTTTCCAGTTTGCTCACGAGGGACAAAAAAGACCTGATAAGTTAAACAGTAAAAATTCAGAGTCCATTTGGAAAGGTCCTTTATATATTCACAGCCTTATCTGTTGCTGTTAGTCTAAATACAGCAGCATTTTTAGAATATATGATGCCATTAATAAGTGGAAAGGGAAAAAATGCATTTAACACTCAAGAGTCCTTCATCTTCTACTATATTGTATAAAACTTCCATTTGTCAGTATGACTAGGAAGCTCCTTTTTTAAAAAAAGAAACTTAAATTAACATTTATCTGCACATTAGTAAATCAACACAAGAGGATACTAGGAGTTAAGAATTCTTAGGTATTTTCTATGGCAAAAGCTTGGCGTTTCTGACCAGTGGTAAAATCCTGACCCTACCAAAGACATCAGGAGTTCTGTCATTTTGCTACTGACTGACGTGCAGGTATTCAATACTGCAGTGAAAGCACAGTGACCCCCTCCCACGTCAAGGGGATCTCAGAGGTGGGGATGACAGTATGAGTTGCTGTGAGAACAGGAAATCCAAATGCAACTAGGTAAGGCCCATCCCTTCTCTAACTCATCCATGAGGCCAGCCTCACAACATACACAAAGCATCCCACTGATGCCAGTCACTTTCTCTACAAACTGGTGTCAACTTTAGCAACCTGATTTCAAGGCCTGTAACCAACATGCTACTTGGTAGCGTCTTATTTTCTGCATGGAAGCCATTTTGTCTAATCCTTGCTTAGCTTTGATTGCATCAGAGTGACATCAAAATAGGATAATGTTCTTTTTTCACATGTTTTGTAAAAAATTACTACCAAATGTGTGAATTTCCTGCTTGTGAGCTTTATCTTTCAAAGAAGCTAAAAGCCTACCTAACACTGAGGACCTGGAATGAAATTCTGCCCCCACTCAAGTCAGCAGAAGCTCTGTTATTGACTTAATGGGTCTGTCTGACAGGCTTCTTCCCTCCACAAAACTTAAGTGAATTCTGGAAGGCTGGAAGAGGATGCTCATTTGTCTTGTGTATTTTTTCTCCTCCAACAGCAAGATTTACTGCAAAACAAGAACACTGTAATGGCTAGTGGAAAAAATAAAAAGTACAAAATCACACACAGTGAAAACTTCCTACTCTCTTTTGGTAAGATATATGAAGACAACTTCTTACATTGTTCTTTTCTCAAAAGGCATATACAATATGGCAAAATATTTCAAATATACATTCTATATAATAAAATATCATCTAACTAGTGCATCCTCAATCATATGCTGGAAATATTTTTACCAAGCCAAGGTTTAAATTCCATAAATCTTTTGAACTCTAGGTGCCTCATTCAAGGCAGATTCAACAGCAAGTAAATCCCACAAGCTCACTTTTCAAGCCTTAGAAGGTAGCAATGGATGGAACATGACATATTATGACTGACAACAGAAATTAACTAAGTCAGTGGTGAGAAACCATTGTAATGGTTCAGCACTCCACAGCACTCTGCATTGCAAGTCGTTGTACTTGATCAAATGGTGGATGGTTGTACATGCAAATTAAAGTCATCTTGTCAGACTGACATACAGCCATACGTGATTATCCACAAGTTAAAATAAAAATATAAAAGGTCAACATTCACACGTCCATTGATTAAAGGGAATAAATTAAACCTCAGATCAGTTGCATACATGGTTTCCTTCACCCTCAGTCTTTTAATTATGCCTATACACGGAACAATACTTTCCCAAACACTTCTGAAGTGGCAAAAACAAATGAAGGTTTTTGCACTCTATCTGTGCTCACAACAAGTTCATCCTTGCCAATTATGAATTGAGACAGTTCCTCTTCTCTTTAGCATCAGTGCACAGGGTATGGCTCCAAGTGGTGTGTTGGAGGAAGAAGAAAAAAAAATAGGGTGGCTTAACAAACAAACAAACAAAAAAAAAGAATCTTCTTCCATTCATCATTGGCAGAATAAAACAAAAGTGTATCTTGTCCAGGGTACCTTGCTAGGTCCTCTCCAGAAGAGGTATGTACTGTCATACGTAAATGCCCTCTGGGTTAAAACCAGACGACAGGGGATTCTGTAGAATGCGAAGGTTACTGGGGAGTTGCCTCGACGAGCCAGGGCGCTTCAGCGACCCAGACTGAAATGTTGGCTCTGCACAAGAAAAAGGGCAGTTAGAAAAGTCATCACCAAGGGCGATGTCTGTAGAACACCTCTCTTCTTCCTGGTTACTGCCGTGTGTGCTTAGTGCAGTACAGAAAAACTAATGCCACGTACAACAAAAAATTCCAATGGCTGACTGGGAAGTGATGAGATCTAAGGTGCACACATCCTACTCATTTAAAAACAGAAAGATGTGCCTATGCAATATAATTACCCTCCCACAAGGAACATGCACACGGATACATGCAATACATTTCTACAGTAATGTGCAGAAAGAGCTTGTACCTATACATAACTCAAAGCTTCAGCTTCCTGCCCACTAAAAAATAAAGTTTATACAAGCGCTGACATTTAAGGGTTCGTTGTCTTCTCTCCCCACTGCCCTACCCTCTCAATGCCTTTTGGTTAGAAAGTTTTCTGAGAGAAGGGACAGAACCAGCTAAGGAGAACGCTGAGAGAAACAGGCCCCTTAGAAGCAGGGTACTGGGTAAAGTGCACCACAGCTGAGGCTGAGCCATAGCCCAGGACTTTCTGCTTGTGCTACAGTTCTGATGTGCGTTCAGAGTGCTCCCATGGTTCTGTCTAGGAAATTCTGAATTCAGATGTGGGCATGTGCAGAATGCACACATCTCACTAGGGGCAAAGTCAATTTGCACATGCAGTAACAGCCATCTGTGCAGGACTTCTGGATGGCTGGCAGCCCAGCTGGATTAACTCCTATTCCCATATGACTGCTGTCTGGGATTTCTTGAGATCCAGACACATTCCTTTTTCTACTTTGACAACACATCCCCCTAGAAGAGGAATAATGCAGATGAACAGCAATGTCAGACGTGCAATCATGTTGTTTGCCAGCTTACATGCCTGCAGCCATTGCAGCCAGACTTGAAAGCTACTGGCCTAATGGGTTACTGATGGGACAAATGTGCCCAGGCACAATAGGAGAGAAGTTATCTATGTACTGCACTTTATTTAGAGCTTGCTAAACCCTTGGAATTAAAATAAATATTTCACACTGTGATTTCTTAATATTTTGCTAACTTATTTGCTAATAGAGCATTCACTTCACGTATGAGTGCTGGCATTAATGCAGCAGGTGAAAACATTTCCCTCCCTTTCTCCCGCCCAGCAAAAGCATTCTGAGTGCCGCACCTCTCTCGAGCTCCACGTGCGGAGCCTCCACCTCAACAGGGTCTGCTGGCAGCACCGTGACCTTCGTTCCCGTTTGCTGGATGAACTGTTGGAGATTGACCTGTCGCAGCTCCTTTGTCAGTTGCTCCAGTTCTTGTTCCCTGTCCTGCCAGGAAAAGGAAAACATCTGCTGAGCAGCAGCGAGCATAAAGCGGCATTTCAAGACTATTTGCCATTGGGCAACTAACGCTTCTACTTTTGATGAGAAAGTCTTCAATTTTTAAATTAAAATGTAAATGGAAGAGCTGAAAGGTATTTTACTCTTGTATTTTAGAAAGTGAATCAACACTATTACTTATTAGGGGTTACTACTGGTCTGTTTATATTGTTTCTTGGATGACTAGCAGATGTTTCTCATATCACCTGAGAAAAATTTTGGCACAACAGATGTGAGCAAATAACAGTAATAGTGAGCGTTCATAAAAAATACATCAAGTATCAGTCTGGCACCAAATCTTAGCTCTGCCAGAAATGTCCAGCATGACTTGGACAGCTCATTCAGTTCTTCTGTTCCTAAAAGGAGAATAATTCCCTTCTCTTCTGGTTCTTTGCATTTTCTATTTAGGGTGTAAATTTTTATGGACAGAACTGTCTCACTCTGCAAGTGTACTATGTTTTGTACAATGAGACCAAATGCTGGCTGATTTACCGCCCCTTCACAAGAACAGAAGATGATCATTTAGGATCTCAAGGCTCTGTAATTATGGCATGAGAAGCAAAACCTACAGCTCCAACAGATTATGACAGTCTTAGACTACAATTATTCCTGCCCCACCCCAGATTCAGCTTCACTAGTAGACAGCTGTATGTGGCACTCTCCTACAGCCAGGATGAGCTTCACCTATTTGGTCACACAAGGGATGGGCTAGCTACCAAGATGCCAGGCAGCACATCTGTGGGCATTTCCATGCCGTCCATACCTCTACATCTCCATTTTGGCATGAGATGGAGGTTGGGTCAACCTTCTTTTCCCTAATTATCTTGTGTAAGCAGATTTATACATGAACTTGCACATGGATTGGAGGAGAATATTTTGTGGATCTCTTCTAGGAACAGTTCCCAACAGCACAGCCCTTATTTATTTTGAATTTGCAGTAAGGTCACAGTTGAGGCTGAATTCAACAGTTAGTTAGAAAATTAACACAAATTATCTGATGTCTGAATTAGGACCTTTAAATGTCAATTTGTCACTGATGTGTTTGTTTGCGTATCATGTGGTTGGTCTCGGCTTCCTGTGCTAGACTGCAGTTCCATTCATTGTCTACGAGCTTCCAGAGAAACTGGACTGAGAAACGGAAGGCAGGCCACCTCCAAATTCTAAGATAATTCTACAGAAAAATTATTCAATTTATTTTTAGCCTATTACTCTACAACTGGGCACTTGGGATACAAGAAATTCTCAACTGTCTTTACTTACTACAGTGTTAATTCTGAAACTCCAGGTTTTATGAGATTGTAACAAGTTGCCATTGTAGGGCATTCATTTTTTTTAAAAAACCAGAATCACTGAAATATACAGGTTAGTAGAACTAACATCATAAATAACTTGTTCTTGGCATTTTGCAACTTTCACACAAAATAAGGTAAAAATGTTAAGTATCACCCCAAATCCTACTGGTTTAAGCTCTTATATCTTATTATATTATCTTAGTATCTAATTGTGAAACTTCAGTGAGATCTTTTACCTGCAGAAGGGTGAGGTTGTTGTTTTGTTTTGTTTTTTTTTTGGCAGGGGGAAGGGGTGTGTGCATTTAACATCTTTTTCTAGAAACAGGGAGAGCAGAGTGCTGCATCTGATCTTTAACTGAACATACCCTCACATTGTTGGAAAGTAATGTTATTGAGGTGCCTAGAGAAAAGGAACAAAAGAGAAGAGGTAGGACAAGTTACTAGAAACTTCGCACATGCTATTAAAAATGCCACCTTCCTGTTCTCATCACTTGAAATCTAGTGAACCAAAATTTTCTTTCCTTCCTTACTGAAAGGTCTATAAAAACCTCTATGCTCAACTTTTCTAGTTCAAATCAGCAGTTCTATGAATATAAATATTTAACTTTCAGCATACAAGAAAATATTTCTCTATTTCCTCCCCCCAAAATTGTATAATACAGAGCTGAGTTTATTTTTTCATGGACTTCCAGATTAGGACCTTCCTTTAGGTTTAGAACAAGCCTGGAATGGAAACTTTCCTGAGAAAGTGAAACCCTAGCCTATAAAAAACAAAAAAGCAAGAAAGATTTTTAACTCAATCATAACCTCACTGAGTGTTACTGAGGATAGGTAAAATATATAAAGAGGCCTTTACACTTTCTGTTAGCACAAATCCTTAAGCATAGTGCACCTGGAAACTTACGACAAATTACAGTTTTCATCCATTTTGCTTTGGATTAAAAGATTACATTTTTTCCCTCCTCGTGTAGTAAAAACAGCTTATACTGACATGGTTCTAAGTCCTCAGGAGCAAGCATGCAAAATCCCTTTACACATTCACAGCAGAATCACCTTACTGCAACTGCAGCACTGTGGAACATGGTAACTGTGAATCCCAGGAATACAGCAAGAATCGCAACTCAAACTGATGTGTGGTGCCTCAGTCCTATCTTATGTGGCACATTAAAACCCCAGGAGCCACAATCTTTCCTTCACCTCATCCCGGATTCATTTATATTTATTCTCTCCCGCTCTATCAAGCTCCAAGTCATATCATTAACTTTAGCAAGAAACCAGATACCGACGTTTCTTTTGACATGTGCCACAAACAGCCTGAGGCGTAGAGAAAATAAAAACCTGAACACCAGTAAGTCAGACAGGGAAGGGGAGATGCTATTCTTTAACACAAAAACCCTCTAAGCTAACAGTTATTTTAGGTCTATATCCATCTATCCAGGTGCTGGTTTTGCACTGTTCTTTTTAATTCATCTATTTTGGTGGCAGACAAAGCTAGCAAGAATCAGAAGTTTAGCCTAAGGTGATGATGGTGCAAATTTCCCTGAAATTTAACAATATGAAGCACTGAGCTGCCAAGGTCTAGGACCTCAGTCCTCAAGATATCTAACCCCAAATCAAAAGGGGTTTGAAGACTGACTAAAAGGCATTAGGCCGAGAGCACTATGGTCCCATTCAGCACCCTGCAGTACAACAATCCCCTACTAGCCCTACATGTGCTATTGTTCAGACAGGAGGTATTATTTGACTGAGGTGTAAAAGAGCCCAGACCCACTAGCACAGGAGCACCTCACTGGAGCTAGCAAGCACTCTCTCTTGGCAAGGCAAGGTGGCCTGATGCATTGCCATGGATGTAGCCATAGTGCCCTCAGCTAGCTTGGCTGATATTAGCTCTGGTGTTTCTCTGTCATGGACCACTGCATGGTGACGATATGCTTCAAGTGATTTCTCAGAGGTGACCAGGCAGTCAGGGAACGGTAGCAAACCAAAGCTGTAACTGATGGGAAAGAAACTAAACCAGCACATAAATAAATGAAAGGTGGCATGGCACTCAGGACTAACCCTGCGGGCCACCCAGGCCTTCTGAATGGCCAGGAACACATCATCTGCTGGTTTATCTTGAGACAAAGAACTAACTAATGTTTTTCTTTTGAAACTATTTGAATGAGTAGAATACATTTAGGTGAAATGAAAATTGCCTGCTCTTCAAAAAAAAATCTGAAATGCAATTTGAAAATGAAAGCTACATTTTCTTCCTTTTACTCAAATTCAATGTGGAAACTTTTTTCTTGTTTTTTTTTTTTTTTAATGGGCTCTGAATCTGTGTAAGAAAAAGTCATTACAATCAGATCTTTGACTTTTCTTTAGCTATGGATAAAAAGGACATTCTTACCTGTAACCGTTTGGTAGCTTGGCCCAAAGACCTTTCTACAGCTTTAATGCCGTTTTCCAGTCTCAGACTCTGCTGGCCCTGAACATCAATTTCACCCTTCACCTTCTCGATCTTCTCCTTGACCTCTTCTTCATTCACTTGGGACTCTTGAACTTCCCGCTGCAACTTCTCTGCTTCAAGGCCACTTTCCATGTTCTGGATCTGAGACATGTAGTCCTTCAGCTTGCTCTCGCACTCCAGGATCCTCTGCCTCATCTCCTGCAGCTGCTCCTTCAGCTGTTTTTCATTCTCCTGTTCAATCTGCAGCTCGTTTTCCCAGAACTCTTCCTCTTCGATCTCCACTTCATTCCTTTTAATCTTCTGCTCTAGCTTGAGGATTTCTTCCTCCAGGCTGGAGTTATATTTTTGTTCCCAGTAGCGGATCTCAGCTTCATTGGACTCCAGCTGTTTCTCAATGTACTGCAGTTTCTCCGTCTGCAGGTGGATCAATTTCTTCAACTCATCCGCCGTCGTTTTACAGTTGTTGAGCACCTTTTGCTTGAACTCGGATTCTTTGCTTTTCCCAAAGATGTCCATTAACCCTTTGGCCCCGCCGGTGAAGGTGAGGGATTTCCTTTTCGGCTCCCTCCTCTTCATGGCCTTGTCGCTGGGAGGCCGCAGCTTGGCCAGGGGAGGTAAGCTCTGCCGGTACAGAGTCCTCTCACGAGCCACGCTGTCCGACGTCGGCCGTTCGCTCAGGGAGGGCCCGGTGCGGCGCAGGATCAGCTGCACGTCGCTCGCGTACTGACCCCATTTGTTCAGCGACACGATGGGGTTTTCGTGCGGTGCCAGGTGCCGCTCCGTGTCCCGCCATTTCTCGATCAGCGTGTACCTCCCGGTGCGA